CCAAACCCGCAGGTGGTTTTCAGCCGGGGGGGACCCTCTCTGCCCCATCTTTGCTCTGCCCAGCTCGCTGTAGCCCATCGGAGCGAAAGGTCAGAGCTGTTATCGGCGGGTGCCCAACTTCCACATTTTCATCCTGCAACTTTCAAGAGCTTGTATGAGCTGCTTTGATGGGGGCTGGGTCTCCTGCCAAGGGCACGTAGCAATGCTTGGTAGAGGGGGTGTAGAAGAGGAGAAATCACCTCTGTGGGTTTCCCACTCGGGGAAAGGAGCGGCTCTCGTGTCCTGCTCCAGGCTTTCGGGCTGCGCTCCGCAGCTGCCCGCGCCGGCATCGCACTGGTGAGAGGCATGGCAGTTCAGAGTCATTTCAGCCCTGTGCAGGCTAATAACTGCTGTTATGCTGGTCTGGAATCATGATAAGAGAGGAGAAAAAAAAAATTATAAAATCTCCATTTTCAGATAACGCTTAAAACATTGCTCTTCGTAAACTTGAGTCATTTGTGGCTTTTTTCCTTTGAGATACTAAAAATGCCATGGCTCGAAGCCCCGAGTGAACACATAGGAACTGTTTCTTTTGTGGGTTAAATAAATTCATTCTGTGTTACATCTGATGTTTTATATGTTACATTTTCTCTTATTTTATACTGTTTAAGAAATGAGAATCCAAGCTCCTAGGTCTCTGACGTCCAGGTTTCTACTACAAAGTTTTAGCAATCTTTACTTATTTACCTACCTTGTGTCCTAGTGACTTAGGTGCTGGCTTCAAAATATATGGACATCAAAAAGCCGATGCATGCACCAGCAATTCTGTTCTGCATAAACATCCGCCAGGCTGTTCCGGAGTTTAGGTCTTTCAGAGAGACCTGGCTTGTGATTCCTGAACACTTGTAGGATGAAATATTTTGGGGTACATCTGAAGTTTCGAATAAGGGATAATAAAGGATAATGATGTGCCTCTCCTTCTATTGGAAGGCTCTCAGAACTTGTCAGAGTGGAGCCCACACGTTAAGAAAGGGACTATGGGGCCCGAAAGAATAAAGTTTGAAAAACTAGGGCCTAATCACGTAGAGAGTTCCCCATGATTTTAACAAAATCTCACAGGACAGAGAGCTGGTAGGAGAGGGATGCTAGGACAGAACTTGCAGGGCACAGCAGTTTAAGCTTAGAAGAGTGAAAACCAGAACAGAATATGATCAGATAAAATCTTACGGCTCAGCTTGCCTAAATAAAAACTGCAGGATCAGTTTCTCAGCACAGAATTTCTTGACCAGTGGTCGTTTCTCCCTGCTGAAGAAAGTAATTTTTTCCCAGAAAACTGCTGAGCCAGTAAATAAACAACAGTAATGTAATTTTTTCCTGTTGCCTGCTGGCGACCGAGAGCAGCCTGATCCTTCTCTGTCAGCGCTGGTCTCCTCTGCCTCTGCGACAGAAACAAAGCCTTGAGGGACTCCATGCTAGAGGGAGAACCCAATAACGTATGAAAAAACTTGGGGCTCCTCTTTAACAGGTATTGAGCACCTCGGTCATCACCTAGCAAAGCACAAATATGCAAACAGACGCCTTCCTTGCCACTCATCACAGCTTTAATATGAAGCAAGTGCTTAAAGGATTGATCCAGCAGTCTTTTTATTCACTTCCCTGGGGTTTGGATGAGGTCCTCAGTGGCAGCAGCAGGTCGCTGCAAGCCTTGCAGAACTGAGCTCAGGCTTGTAAATTTTTTGCTGTTCTTTTTTTTTTTTTTTGGCAGAACTTGTAAAATTGCACAAAAAGGCAAAGAAGAGAATTCCTTAAGAAAGCAGCTTTGAAGAAAATGATTGCTTTATCCCCAGGTGTTGACAGAACCATCCTAAATTTCAGAGCTTTTTAAAAAGGGAAAAATTAAGGTACATGAATAGTCAGGGCTAATATCACACTAAAGATTCGTGCCCCTTTTCACGCAGGAATGTGTAAATCCCAAATAATTGTTGGAGCTATGTTGGCATAGACCCATCCCAGGGGATTCGTGTCCTTAACTGGAGGGAAAAAAGAAGTCCTGCAGTTAAATGAGGTAAAACTCTGGCTCTATTAAAAACAGCAGCAAAACTTAAACCAGTTGGGCAACAGTCTCATCTGCTGTATTTATTCACTTCATGCTGTTCAGAGAAATGACATCCTCAGACTCAGCCTTCAAATTTGCATTTCCCAACGAAAAGCTGACTGCGTGCAGAATCCTTCGGGTGCCTTTTTTAGTCCTCTAGCCCTCAGGGAGGCAGAAATCCCCTTTGCTTCCAGCGGCACTGCAGCCAAAGCTCGCGAGCTCAGGTTCACAATCTGGGCTCGTGTAGTTTGGGGGTTCATGCACTGATGCTTTTTGATAATGCTGGGGTTCTTCGGTAAGCTGTGGGTAAATCTAGAGGTTATCCGTACTGATTGGGTCACTTACAGTTGTTTATAGGTAAATCTTTAAAACCTCATTGGGAAAAAAGTGCAATTTTTTTTAATGGGAATGAAAGTGTTGCTATGTGTTTTGGAAAAAACAGATTAATCTGAAAATGTGAAGAATATAGTAAAAACTTTGTGATTGATGGCATTTGTCAGTCTGCACAGACATAACTGCATTTCTATGAAGTGGTGAAGCCAGGCAGCTTTTTGCTTGTACTTTGGAAAATGTGCCATCTTTAATTACGGAAGAATCATGTTATGGCAAAGGTATTTCTTTTGTAAGAACTGCATGGATTGAGACACATGACTGAGCAATTCATGTTCTGTCCAGCAGAAGAAAAATGATGTATCTGCGTGGATACCAATGTCCTGGTGAAGTGGTAGATGCCTTTACGGTAACAAACACACAGGGGTGATACAGAGATTGTCATGTTTATGCATAATTCTATGAAGAAAAATTTAAAACTTAGTTGGCAAATTTTGGGATGCTCTTATTAACTCCTTACATTTTAAGGTGTTGATTTTCTTTAAAGCAAAAGAAGAGTGAACGGATGTTAAAAGGATAAAACATTCACTCCGCTGGGAAAAACAAATGAAGATGTAATCCCTGTTCCAACTTGACCAGTCCTGCATTTTGTTTTTCCTTCTCCTTCTCATTCGGATGCTCTCAGATCCGTTCTCCTTCTCCAACGGTTCTTTCCTTCCCTCAGGGAGCCGGTGGATGAAGTCCTCCAGATTCCCCCTTCGCTGCTGACATGCGGCGGTTGCCAGCAGAACATCGGGGACCGCTATTTCCTGAAAGCCATCGATCAGTACTGGCACGAAGACTGCCTCAGCTGCGACCTGTGCGGGTGCCGGCTCGGAGAAGTGGGGAGACGCTTGTACTACAAACTGGGCAGAAAGCTCTGCAGAAGGGACTATCTCAGGTACACAACCCACTCGTTCTACCCGCACTCCCCTTCTTTCTACCATTTCAGCTTCGCTTACTCATTTAACTAGTACAGCTAGCGAGCAAAGATCCATAAAGAATTCATTTTTTATTACTCTTAAAGATAAAGCCTGGCAGCAGTCGCAGTTGTAACCCAGCAAGCTCAGGTTTTACGACATGGTCTCATGTACTTTGGGGGTTCATGCACAGATGCTTTATGGTACTGCTGGGGTTCTTCACTAAGTTATAGGTTATCTGTGTTTTTAATAGGTTAACAGAGGTTATCTGTGTTGATTAGGTCACTCAGAGTTATTTATAAGTTAAATCTTAAAAATCTTATTGGGAATAAAAAGCATTTTTTGATGAAAATGGAAACATTGCTACGTGTTGTGGCCAGAAGAGAATTATTTGAAAATATGAAGAATACAGTAAAAAATTCTAGGACTTTAGGTTGTTGGCATCCATCAGTCTGCACAGACAGAACCTGATCGCTCCAGGTGAACCGCACAGTGTCAGTGTGGGATTCTGGCAAGTAGTAACTGGGAAAAGGTGATGAGTTTCAGCAAGCTCCTCCAGAGCTGACAATGAACCAGATCCCCTGAATGGTTTTAAGAAGCTCTGTGCTGCTCCTGGCATCACTGAGAGGTATATAAAACCAGGTGCCAAGATCGGTGGCTGATGAAAGATCATTTAGTTCTCTCATTGAAGAACACGGTATCCAAGGTAACTGAATTAAATTCATTTTCCCGATGCAGTAATATCAGCTCTGTAAGAAAGGCTTGATTCCACCAGCCAGCGGGGCTGCTTTACCCGCTTGCTGTCTGAAACCGCTGCCTTTTAAAGGTGGATTGATCCCTGTCTTTCTCTGCGTCACCGGTAAAGTTATCCGGGATGCTTCAAGCAGAAGGATGCAGTGTGCTGTAGGCTCATGGCAAAGCTACAGCCAGGACAAGACAGGTTGATTGCACTAGATTGGATCCAGTGGATTGATTGCACTAAATTGGATCCAGCAGATATTTAGCATTCTAAAGCCTGGTCCTGAATAGACAATAATTTACCCACTTTGCTGCATCAAATCCTACAAACAGAGTTGTTACAGGTATTTTCATTAAAATCTCTCTGCCTATCTGTTTTGCCAAAATTGGTAAGTAGAAGGATTAAACTGAGATTAAGATATTTCACAAAATTTATAACAAAGGATCTTTACATTCTTGATTACACTTAAATCTGTCAGGAGGTCTGTGGAACAGAACAACAGTATTTGGTATTTTTTCAGCTACCTTGCTGAAGGCTAATTTACCCGCCAATAAAAACTAAACAAAAATCTCAGTGGAGTTCCTAATTCTGGTGTCCCTGAGCTTTACCGATGGAAATTTTGCTGAGCAGAAACTAAGAAGTGAGTTCTGCTAATGGAGCCGCTTATAAATACTTTGCATGCACAACAGTCCAGCAGTGAGCCGGTGTTAATCACACTTTCCAAATACTTTTCATCTTAAAATGGAAGCAACAGAAACTATGGCAATACAATTAATATATTTTCTTGCAGTGAAAGTCAGCATTTTTATTTATTTAACAATGCAACATATAATATCTTCCCTCATTAATGAAAAATTTGACAACTTCTGTGTAACCTTAGTATTACTTTCGTTGGGCAGAAGTAGACACTGACATCTCCTGGTAGCCGAAGGAAATGATGTCTTTTCCCCTTAAAGATCTGTTCGTTTAGTGAGTATCCTTTTTCCAGTTCAGAAGATGCTACGAAGCAGGTACAGCACATGTAAGAGAAGTGTAGGAGGCGGAAAAACTCTTCCCAGAATTAGTATGGAAATTTCGAAGTCTGAAACCCAGCAAGAGTGACTTCATGGATATAGAAATGTTTGGCTTTGAAAGAATCTCCAATATGGAGGCAACGACAATAGACAGGGGAGTCTTAGACCATGGCTTGTGTCAACTCCTTTCTGTAAACTACAATAGTGATACCTGAAGACAGGTAAAATTTATCAATGGAATGGTAATTTCTGTCCATCACAGAAGTGGAAGTATTAGCAGGGCACAACTTTATGCTATGATCTGGGGAAACTTCACTACTGCTGAAGCTGCTCAGCAATTCAGTATAAGGTTGTTGATCAAAGAAGTCAATTATACTGAAAAAAGATGAGGACCTTGGACGTTCTACTCCAGTTTTCAGTATTGCAAAGTTTAGAGTTCTGCTCGGCAGCTTTCCGTGTGACCTCTATGTAACTTGGCAATACTACGACTAATGGGTCAACGCACTGATGTTGTGTTCTTGTTTTGATCTGGTTTTTCATATCTCCCCAGCAAAGGAACTCTGCTTACTTCTTTGCTGTTGTTGTTTTAGGCTCTTTGGCCAAGATGGCCTCTGCGCCTCCTGCGACAAGCGAATCCGGGCTTACGAGATGACCATGCGGGTGAAGGACAAAGTGTATCACCTTGAATGCTTCAAATGTGCCGCCTGTCAGAAACATTTCTGTGTTGGGGACAGATACCTCCTCATCAACTCGGACATAGTATGTGAACAGGACATCTACGAGTGGACTAAGATAAATGGAATGATCTAGCAAAGACATGCCTCCATAGTCCATAAAAGACATCTTGTGGGCAACACTGATGCATCAGCTGCAGTGAGGACATCATCACTTGAGCTATGGGCTGTGTCTAAAATGGGGGGAAAATACCACGGAGTCGGCCCTTTGCAGGCAGTGCTACGTAGAATGTAAACTACATATAGGTGAAGAAGGGAGACCGAAGCAATAGTAGATAGACTGACTTCTATTAACAAAGTCGTATGGACAGTAACTGACATCAGCCACGTAGGTGAGAGTTGAGGAACAAACACAACGCGATAACGAATTCTCGTAACTGGAAAAAGAGTAGGGACTTCTGTAAAGAGATGTTATGTCTTTGTCACCTGCAGACTAGGATTGTGCAATTGAAATTTCTTTTCGTCTTGTTTTAGTTACTGAGTTTAGATGACAGCTCCTAATGTAGACATGAGGAAGAACACCAGAAGAAAAGGGCCATCACTTACGTTGTCATTCTATACGGCCTTATACTTCGGGTAGGAGAGAAAGCGGGAAGAGGGTGGGGGCTATTTTTTGCATGGATTTTTTTTTTTTTTTG